GGGCCAATAATTGCCAGGAGTTCCCAGATCTGAGTTGCTGCTGCCAACCACACACACTGAGATCACAGGCCTGAGGTTTTATCAATGATGTCAGCTCAGCTCAGTCAGTCCTATACCTCTGCCTCATCCTACCACTACACACATGATCTGAAGTCAGGGAGAGGGGGGGAGACTGATTTAGGTTTGTATTTTTTGGATGAAACATTAAGAAAATTGGTTCAGATGGCTTAACGCCAATTTGTATGTTGATCTCTGCACTACAAAACAACTTTAAGTGAGTGCATTGTTTGTATGCCTACATGCATGATGTCCATCTTTGTTGTATACGTGTATGTGAGTGTGTGTGTGAGTAGGTGTCTGGAATGAGGCAACATACCATGACTTTATCTTGGCAAAGCAGAAACAGTATTAACAACTGGTGAAAGATGTTTTGTGGAGATTTCTCATATTCCCCTTTGGTGGAAAGGAAAAATGGGGAGAGAGGAGAGAAGAGGAGAGATGGGAAGAAAAAGGGGAAGTCAACTGAATAATGAATAGCTGCAGATATGTATGCGTGTTACTGTTCACTGATCAATGTAAGCTTACTTCTAGTCATTCTCTGTCATCGCTTTGTGGCAGTTTTGAATTTCCAAACACAGGAAGTGTTGCTTGATTTGCTCTTTCTTTGTGTCTGAAGTGTCTGTCTTTCTCTTTTTCTTTCTGTTGCTGTCACTCCTTCTCCCCTTTCTCTCTCACATTCTCACACACATATACAGATGTGGGATAATTGTTTGCTTTTCTTGCCAAACAAAAATGCTTTCTTCTCTTTGTGACTTGCTTTGGTGTTACCTGACAAGTGTGTGTGTATGTGTGTGTGTGTGTGTGTGTGTGTGTGAAGAGATTGAGCAAGTGCTAAACCCAGTTTCTTGCCTGAGTGTTGACACAAAGGTCCAGGCTGACAGAGAGGATTGAGAGTGTCATCCCTAGGATTAAGCATAATGAGCACGATTGAAAGAAAAGACAACATTGTACGCTTAAGACAGACACATACAGTCTAAACAGACACACAGAAATGTACACAGGCAATTATAGAGAGGTGTATCAAAGGTAAGAGATAAGCTGCTGTTTTTATGCGTGTGAGCAGGCTATTCCAACATTGCCTGCACACTTCTCCAGGGAGGGAACAGGGATTATCCCTATTTACTTTCACTGTAACTTTTTTTCCCTTTACATCTCTTTCCCAGCCCCAGTTTCTTTTGTCTTTTCTTTCCTGTTTTTCATTCATGTCTTTGTGTGTCTACCAAGATAAAGGCTGAGTTTGTGAACTGTTTTGTGCCATTATGGTCTCCTGGTGTCAGATTTGTATGGGTTGCCTAGCATTTCTTAAGATGGCAGTGACTGGTGGGCAGATTGTATGAAGATTTGGGTATCCACAATAATTGGACCAACTTGTGCCTTAGCCACCCATCTGGGATAGCTAGTGCAGGTAGTCAGATGATGGAATCAGAAAGCATGTTCATGTTCAGGGGGTGTAATGATATTTGTGATTTAGTGATATAGAGATAGAAGATTTTTTTCAATACCACTGTGTGATGTTGCACTGTGAATGACTTGTTTTGTTTACAGGGTCCAGCTGCTGCAATTATATATTATTTTATTTCATAAAAAGGCTGTCACTATCTGCTGCATTATACAGAGTTTTTATCCAGGCAATATCATACCGTGAGTTCTTGGTATTGTTACGTCCCTAGAAAGCATGCTCATCATTCTCATGAAGACTATTTAAAACATATACATTTTTGCAGCTGGTGTTGCAGTCATATTTTTTAATGGCTGAAACAAGTGCTGTGACTGAAAACTATTTTATAATCAAGTTCATGAGGCTTCAGTGTAGAGCTAAAGCTCACCTGAAGTTTAATTCTCTCTTATGAAGTTCAGTCTGCTGAGTTTGCAAATTTAGTTTCCATATTTAGGAAGACAAACTGTTATCAGTCTAAGTTTCTTTGTTTTATGTTTCGAGGTTTCAGTATTCCCAGAGGAGACTGTAAGTGTATTCCCAGCTTGATGCATTCTGCTTTAGTCATGATATGCCAAAACACTCATACATGCTCTGTATGCACATACATAAAGAAAATAAATATACTTGTCTGCCTTGCATTCCTTCAGTCTCCCTTCTTTACCTGTTTGTTAAGGTTGGGCCTAAAATCCATGTGTGCCACAAAACTTCAAAGGGCCATTTTTGTCAGCAAATCTTGTCCATCTTTGCCGAATGCCAGTTTACAATCGCTGTCCAATCAGATAGCAACTGATAAGTGTGGCATGTAGCAGTTAGCTTGGCACCCACCAGGTCCTCCTCTGGCCCAGATGCAGGCTTGTTGGCAGAATGTGTATGTGAAGCTTTGCAAGTTTTTTTTGAGGGGGACGACCACCTTTCATCTTATCACTTTCTACAGTGACACAGGCTTCAAAGAGTGCCGGTCAATTTTTACTGGCACTGAAAAGTTTTCCTGTGTGAGCCATCGACACATTACCAGAAAACTGTTCCAGGTTCTTGGGCTGTGTTAATTGAAGGCATGAGCATGGCTTTAAAGAACTGCAGATGCACACACACACACATGCTTTCACAACACATTAGCTACTAAGAGTGAAAGAGTTTGAGCTCTATCTATTAGCCTGGTCTTGTAATGTGGCAGCACAATTCTTAAGATGAGAAAGACAGATGGATATCTGAGAATGTGAAATTGTATGAGATCAAGTGAGCAAGCAAAACCACTGAGACAAAATAAAAACCAAAGAAATTCACTTGTCTTAAAACTCACAGGCACATCTGTGTCAATGGAAATGTGTTCTTCTCTTATATGTTTTTTCACTAAGTATCAGTAAAGCTCAGACACTGTGAGGACTGCATAGTTGTGTGTGCATTTGTGCAGTATGTGTCATGAAATACTTTGGCTGATGTAGCACAGAGATTTTGGAGATGACAATTGCTAAGTTGGAGGAATGATGAAATTTCAGAACAAAATGGGCAGATTGTGGAAATGAACTTATACAAGGCTTAGAGTTGGAGTGAACCTCCTGTCACATAATACTGTTGTCATTTGTAACAGTTCACACTCAGGGATATTTGCTGTCTGCTGAAGGGTTTCTCTTTCCATAAGGAAACTTTCTAGGATAAAAGACAAAATTTATGGTCTCATTTTCAGATTGATTCAGAAAACACTGCAACAGCTCAACAGACTTTAAACACTAAAACATAAAACTTTCTAGCAGTTACAAGAGTTTTATAAAAGCAGTGGAAGGGTTTTCCACCATTTGGAAACATGAGCTAGACCTAGGATTGACCTGCAAACCATTTGTTGGAAATCCTTGATGCTTTAAGGTTTATGAGAGTGTATGTCTGAGTTTGGAAGTTTTAATGTGTCTCTGTGTGTGTGTTTGCACACATGGATAACTGTGTCTCTGGTGCCTTTGAGGTGTGTTAAGGTGTTTTTCTCACTTTGATGTTTGGTGCTGGGTTTATAAAAGGGTGGTTTTAGAGGCATTTTCTTTAGTGTGTTTGTGTGTGTGTGTGTGTGTGTGTGTGTTGGCCAGGAGAGTGGATGTGGTCCACTTTGCACTGGCCACCTGTAAGTCATTGACAGAAATTAGCCTCTTTAGTCTTGATGGGTTGCAGAACAGAGAGGGGGTGGTGAGAATGTGGTAGGAAAGCTATTTGTGAAGTATTTGAGGAGGTATGTGTGTACCTGTGTGTGTCATGAAGGTTATACTGTATACAGTCCATTTTCAAAACTGCACTCTTGCTGTCCCATTGTAAGACAGAGAAAAGGGGAGACAAGGTATATACTATATAATGGAACCATTTGTTTCTCATTTGTCTGCAGTCTCTCTCTCTCTCTCTGTTTGTGTGTGTTGTGCTCTTTCAGCTCTGATATTCCCAAACCTGCTGTAGAGTTCTGCTCTGACTCTACTAAACACACACAACCTGGACCCATTACACTCAGTAAACAAATAAATCGTTAATACCAGCCTCCAGGCTCCATATACACAAATACAAATGTATAGTATATGTACACACTCTTGGACACACCACACCCATTCCAGGCATGTCCAAAGCTATTATTTACTATGGGGTTTAAGGGTAGCGAGACTAATGATGTGGTCCTTGTGTTCCTGCTTCCTGTTCTTCGCTGGAGGACTTCCTGTGGCTGAGTCAGGTGGTCCTGATTACGTTCCACATCTAAAGCCCCTGGAGCAGGACAGTTTTGATCTGATAGACACACACACACAATAGATATAAAACAATCTCCATCCCTCTTGTCAGATATGTGATATTATTGACCAGAAGCACTGGAAACACTGAGCATCTGTGTTTACTTCTTTTTCCTTTTCTCTTTAAGTTTCTCTGTCTGTTTCTGGTTTTTCTGCTGTCCCTTGTTCTGTAGCCAAGAGGCTGTTTGGTTTGATGAGGGCCTGACTGGTCCTGTTG